TTTTGTCAGTTATGAGTTATCAGAACCAACGAGCAGAATGCCAAATCTCTTTCTTGTTATAAATGGGGGGTTTTTTTCTGACGCCTAATGTATTATTTGTGACACTATGAACACATAGATAAGGGAAAGTGACATGATTTCTTCGTGGCAATCAGTTTATCCTTCTAACTAATTTCTCATAGCTTTCTTATCCGAAGATGGTTACAATTTTTTTTTTGTTTGGAATAAAAAGATGGTTACAATATTTTATTGAAATGTTCATTGAGCATTTGAATAAAATTTTTGGTGCATCAAGGAGTTGGGATTTATTGTAGTGTTGTCATTAAGCAAATGATATATTAGGTGACATGTTTTCAATGAATTGAATCTTTTGCAAGTACCTCAGACTGTTGGTTCAAAACCCTTTATATAAGCCTCACCCTATTCAAGATGAGGCTGATTTTGTTGGTCTGGTTGATATTTTGTACTTCGGTGGAACCATCTTGGTACCCTATCAAAATCCTTTATATTTTATTTAAGCCTCACCTTACTCAAAATAAGGCTGATTTTGTTGGCCTTGTTGATATTTTGTGTTTGTGTTCTTAAATCTTTTTATACTTCTGTGGCACCCCCTTGGTGCCCTGTCAAGGAATTTATTCCTCTCTTCTTCTTCTCTTTCTTTTCTTTTTCCCCCAGAAAATGTGATATTTTTATGTACTAAACTTTGGTGGCTTAGGAGTTAATTTCTTACCTTAGCTTAACTGATTGGAAAACCATAGTCCAAACTGGAGGTTGGATTACTAGATCAGTTATCAGCAAATTTAATTGCTTAAGGTATCCCAACTCTAAGGTTGGTTCAATAGGTGCATTGAATAAGTGAAACCAAGGTCCATTTGGTTCATTTCTCATTTGACTCCTAGTTATTACTTGATCCTAGTTTTATATTAGTCTTGATATGCATAACTAGAATATGAATTTTTTGTTTTTGATTTATTGTCACCCCCCTCTTTAGATTCTTTGGAGGTGACAGTACAATTTCAATTTCGAGAAATAAGAACTCAATTCCACTTCTAGCGAATTCAAGTTGGGAATGAGAATAACTTAAACACAAAAAGCATCTGTCAGTGTGAATATGAATACTCAAATTAGAAATTAGTTAAAAATCGAAAGGGGAATGAACTAAACAGGTTGTAATAAATAGGGCTGGGCTCTTTGAATTTTTCTATTATAACTAACCTTTTCAGGGGAAAGAAGTCCAGCCTTTTTGTAGGATATGACATACTGTCTCTTTCCTTAACAGGGATGACTCTGATTTAAGCATCTTAATGGTCTTTCGAGATACTGAATGTAATGCTTTGGCACCCAGCAGCTGCTCTGCTCTCCACACTCTAGGAATCCAGAAAAAAAAAATGCTACAGAGAATTTTTCTTTGTTAATTGTTAGCATATAATTCTTTTTAGCAACAACTGTGGAGAAGGCAAATCCTTTTTTAACTTGGGTCTGCCAGTCGTACTGTCTTTGTCGCTTCACATTTGCAACATTCCTAAGAAACTTGTAATGCAATGAGAAAAATACTCAAGCTTAATGCTACAACAATTGTTTAAGAGATCAAAACAAGTTTGGAAGTATCTCAATTTTGCTTGAACAAAACTAGTTAATTGTAAAAATGCTGCTGAAAAGTTATTTTCATGTTACAGGCTCGTCCCTTGTTCAAGGATCGAAGGAAATTCGCACAGATGGCAGACCCACTGCTTCAAGGTCAATATCCA